GAGGAGGAGGAGGCAGAGTTCTAGTTGCGAGATGAGGGTCCATAGGGCTAAGTCTCAGTAGCCTATACAGGCATTAGCCGTCAATGCTTCTCAGGTCAGTAGTGCAGAGAAACTAAGTCTCAGCCGTAGTGCCGGGCTGTACTGATGGAACCTGCGCCACCCGCCGAGGCTCGTTAAACAGAGTCCAACACGTACAGAGTCGAGAGAACTATCTGTGCTCAAGTTACATGAGATGACCAACTTACTCCTGGCATCGGAAGGCTGATAGTATGGGAGAGGTGCGGTAGAGAGAGAACGTAGGGTTCAGGCATGGTATTTGTGTGACATAGTGCTTGGGTCTTCATTTTGAGGCCGAAATTGCGGGAGGCGGGAACTATGTGGCGAAGGGTGATGTTTTAGACACAGGCCAGTTACAAGCTGGTAAGATATTTCCATAAATGCGTTTCCGCGTTATCATGCCCCCAAAAGGATATATCGACCAGTTAAAGGAGATCTTGCCTTGCCGGAACACGTGGTTGACAGCACTTGCTCTCTTCGTCGCCATCCATTTAGAGTTTCCATCGGCTCCACTGCGACTGCATCGAAAGCTGCAGCGGAATCAAGGTAACGTAAAGTCATATTCGCCTTAAAACAACATCTCTAAACTAGGACTCGCCTCGAGCTAGGCATCTGATCGATGCTGCACCCGTCAGGACAGAATGACCCCGCCTCTTATTTGTCCGAGTATCACTGCGGGAGGGGAATATGTTTAGGAGGATGTTCGCGGAAATCGTTGCGGCGAAATCAATTAAATTGATTACTGTGTAGTTATCTTGTTTCCCTTCCTCAGGGAAGAGAATAGAGCGGTCTCACTTCGGTCCTGTGAAAAAGACATGTTAACTGAAATATCATTATTAGCAGATCCGACATAGTATTAGGGCAGTCATTAGAAAATTTAATTGACACTCTGTCCTCATCTGGGGCTCGGTTGCCTCAAAGGCGCCGGTTGACTGCGAACATTTCAGTTGTGGCGGTCAAGGATGTGAGATCGACTTAAACCACGCACAATAAGTTCGTTTCGTCTAATGACAGAAGTCAGGGAGCTGTGAGGACTAGTTTATTCTGTACACAGGGCATGTTGCCGTAAGTTGGCGATTTGCTTGCAACAGAGAAAAGCGTCCGTTCACGGAGAGCGTCAGTCACGGTGTGTGTTGTTTACGCGGGTGTGCGTCTGGGTCAGCAGGAGGGGTGACTGGCTGAGTGTTGGTTGTGTGATTGGACAAATTAGGGGAGGAATGGAGGGCGCATACTCACAAGGCCTCACGGGAATCAAGCCAGGGCGTTCGACGCGCGTTAGGTGA